GGACTTGAGATATCGCACTGGCGGCGGTGGGATCCTGTCGCACTTGATCAAATTACAAGGTGGTCAGCAACAAGATGCTGGAGGCCAGTCTCGAACATCAACTGACTCGTCCCGCAGCGCAGAATCAGCCCCCACTGGGGCCCCAACACCAACAGGAAAGAAGCAAAAGCCACTGAAATGGTACAAAAAGCCCCAAAATACGTCGACGTCAACCTTGATTGGTGGGAGTGCGGAGAGTTTCAGTGGTGCAAGCACTCCTGTTTCAAGCGAGATCCTGTCACAAGCTTCGAAACGCCGTGATAATCAGGGAGGTGGTGGTGGCGGTGGAGGTCGTAATATGCGCCTTGAGGATGAAATTCGAGTAACCGTGCACATTGCAGAGATCATCTGTCGGCAGCGGTATATCATGCAGCTCTGCAGAGCATTGATGTTATTCGGTGCCCCCACGCACAGACTTGAAGAATACATGCAGATGACCTCAAAGGTGTTAGAGGTTGACAGTCAATTCCTGTACCTGCCAGGTTGCATGCTCATGTCATTCGACGACCCTTCTACCCGCACCACCGAGGTGAAGTTGGTTCGTGTAGCCCAAGGAATTGATTTGGCTCGCCTATCGGACACGCATTTGATCTACAAGAATGTGATCCATGATGTGATTGGCATTGAAGAAGCAATTCAGGAGCTTGATTCAGTCATCAAGAAAAAACCTCAGTATCACAAGATCATCATTGTCTTGGTGTATGGGTTGGCCACTGCGACTGTGGGACCTTTCGCTTTCAGTGCCAGGCCGATTGATATGCCAATCATTTTTCTCAATGGGTTACTTGTGGGTTTAATGCAACATGTCGCCGCGCCTCGTTCGGTGTTGTATTCCAATGTCTTTGAAGTGACATCAACAGTGGTGACGTCCTTCTTGGCTCGAGCCTTCGGCAGCATTGCCCTTGGAGTTGTGGATGGCAAGCCACAGTACCTATTTTGCTTTTCCGCCATCGCGCAATCGTCAATTGCATTGATATTGCCGGGATTTCTTGTTCTTTGTAGTAGCCTGGAACTTCAGTCCCATCAGATCATCGCCGGCTCGATTCGAATGGTATACGCTCTCCTCTTCTCCTTGTTCATTGGATATGGAATTACCGTCGGCACAACCATCTACGGGCTGATAGACAACAATGCGGTATCTGATACCTCCTGTCCAGAGAAGGGTGCCTTTAAAAATCCATATGTTCAACGGTTCCCATTCGTTGCGATCATGACAGTCTGGCTTTTGATCATAAACCAAGGGAAATGGAAACAGCTCCCACCGATGAGTATTATCGCATTATCGGGCTACATTAGCAACTACTTCAGCACAAAGAAACTGGGGTCAAACTCCCAGGTCGCGAATACAGTCGGCGCCTTTGTCATTGGCATTATGGGAAATATGTACAGTCGGCTCTGGCATGGCCATGCTGCGACCGCTATTCTGCCTGGCATTTTCATTCTAGTTCCATCTGGACTTGCTGCTACAGGGTCTTTAATCTCGGGGGTACAGTCCGCGGATGAAATTCGTCAAAGCGTCGGCTCTCATGCTGCTCCTAGTTCAGCACCCGGGGCTGGCTTGCAGTCCGGTAATTCCGTGTTTAGTCTAGGTTTTGGTATGATCCAAGTGGCTATTGGTATTACAATTGGTTTATTCATTTCCGCACTGGTGGTTTATCCATACGGCAAGGCCCGCAGCGGACTGTTCAGTTTCTAGGCTGTTTATTGCCATGTGTTGATGAGATTTTGTTAGGATCGCGTGGTTTCTATTGGATAGTACTGACTATATATAGGATCGAATATATAATGCTTAGTCCAATATTAACCTTCTACTTATTATATGCTTAATGATATATATCTCAACTTTAACGCTACTTTATACGCTTTTGAAGGCTACGAATTACCCCTAATTATTACATATATATATCTAGATTTACACGCTAGTATTGACTATTACTTATGGTCTTAATAAGTAGCAGCGGAAGAGGATTAGAATTATCACTATTCTCCGGCTTAGCATTATCACAGGTCTCATTGGTTATCTCTTCGCCTTTAGTTTTATGATTATCCTCACACTAGCCGATAGATTCGGGTTATAATAATGAAGCTGCACCAGCTACCTAATCTTGACAACTTATGCCAGCAGGTGCGCGACCGACAACCTCAGAACGCGATTCATCAATGAAGCGACACAGCATGGCAGAGGAATTAGGTACGTCGACATGGAGCACACCATCCTCAATCATCGCAAACCCTATGAACAAAAGTCGGGATCGGCTTGATTGAATTTGATTTTTTGTTGACTCGATGAAATAAAGGGAGATTTAATGGCAACCTCCTTACTGATTCAATCATTTAGGGCGGTATTGATTCGAAATTTTTGTTTATCGAATTATACCTCTCTCCTTGATGTTGGGAATTTTTCATAGAAAGACTAAGGTAGCACCAACCAACACTCGGCAGAAATACATTTAAAGATAGTGATCGATTCATCATCTAGTCAAACGATAACCTATCATCTGTAAAGTGACGCTGGCCTATTCAAGGCCACCAAAAGACAAAGTCATCACGAAGACGAATCGGGGAATGAGACATCCTTCGTCAGGGGCTTAATACTGTGAGTGAGCAGGGCGTAATGAGTAGCGAATGCCGATGGTGTGTGCATAGGACAGGTGGAGGCCTTAGTTCTAGTGACGCCTTGGTTGATACTTTCGACAATTCTTACTCCTCACCTCAACAAGTTTCACTTCTCCCTTTAGCAATTCTCACTTCTTCCTTAAAAGAATTCTCACTTGTAAGGGCTGAGGGCACAACTCCGACAGTCTTCCATCTTTCGGTATCGAATCCGGGTGGAGTGAATGTTGGAACGATTTGCTCCACGAAATGAACCTTTTGTTGGTCGGTAGCAATGGAGGCGTTCGAGAGATCATGATTCCAAAGTGGAGTCTTAACCGTCGAACGAGATAGGTAAGCGTTTATCGAACTTTACGTTAGTGATCGAAATGGAATACCCGTCCAGCGGTAATGAGAGGTACATCCAAGACTTCGAATTTAATTAGTCTGTTTCCTAACAGCCTTTGGGTATTCCCCGTGCCAACCGGAACCACCATACTAAAGCGAATCGAACTAAGCCGCTGAGAGGTATTGGGCCCTCGCCTAATGTCCGACCTGGAACGTACAGGATCACGAAGTACAATGGCGCACCTTCAGATTGGCGATTTGTGGGAAGTGACACTCCGAGCACCACAACGGACGAACCTTTCCCCTGTCTAATCCTGTCAAGGGTCCCTGTTGTTGCTTTCGCTCTTCTGGATAATGTCCAATCGTATTTCTCGATCATCGTGGCCGTGACTCTATAACTTTCACCGGTAACGTCAGAGTTACAGATTCACCCGAGGGTGATTTATACTTTGTCGGTAGTAAGCTAGGGTTGATTACTCGGTTTGCGCGATATGTATGTGATGCTGTCTCAAAAGCTTTGTCCGTCTCAGATCTACCCAGAACCAGTGCTTGTGCTCTTCATATGTTGCGCTGTATATAGGCTTTGCATAACGAACATGGCTGTCGTTTTCATCCTCTTCATCAAGCTCTGCCGTAGTTTGATCTCACCCTGATTCTTTAAACGTTTGACCGGGTTGCGGTCTTTGGTATATGGTGCTGTTTTGATCGGAGATTGACTCCTCTGTGACTGTTAGTACGGAGCCAACGTATTGATTCACAGACAGCCCAATTATTTACGCTGCATGAGACTCACTCACTGGATGTATTTTCACAACAAAAAGGAATACAGAACATATTCATTACTGTCTATGATTGTGAGTACCCCGTATGCAACATCGGCTAGCATCCATGAACTTTGTGACCAAGCGTTCCTATTTAAGGAAAGTGGCATTATATTCGGGAAACCCCCTGGATTTCTCTTACGGGAAAGGAACCTTAATTTTATATACTATATGTCCTAATATTGATCAAAATCAGAGTCATCCTCGCAAAACCAACCGTCACAACTCACGAAATCGCGCCACATTTTCTACATGCTGTTCTTTTCACTAAAGAGAGGATTTCAAAAAGGGGGCAAATTCCTCAGAAGCCAGCACAGTATTAGCAGCTTCACAATTCGGTCATTCTTTTGGACTCCCTTCATCCTGGGTAATATTTGGACTGCGAGAGTAATAGAGCAGGAAGGCAATACTGACATTCTTATTCGGCGAGAGTAAGCCTGGCACAATATTTTCTTTCCTCCTCCGATTGATATGGTAACTAGCCACTACTCGCTTGTTTTGCTTTGTTATTTTCTTTTATCATCCGGTTTGCTAGGTAATAGATTTCGGTTGAATTTTGCTTTTTCATCCAGACTACTAAGTCGTGTATTTAAATCATGTTGTTGCTATGTCCTTGTGCTGAGTAGCCGAGCTTTGCTGTTTTCGTATGCATAGTTTTAATAAATGAACATCGAACAGTTTTGGCCAGCCATCGAGCACTACAACAGCCATGGTTAGACGTAATGGTGGGACGACATCAACTCTCCCTGTGATATGACGAGGAACGAAAGAGAGAAGTCCAGAAAAAGGAAGAGAGACTTTATACCTACCTGGAGGCTGATGGCTATAGGGGTTGCTTGGCTGGTAAGTAGCTATTGTAGGAATGATTTCAACACAATAAGGCACCGTTCTAGTTGTCTTTGCCAATATCTGGGGGGGATTGTGTGTAGTGGAGGATCATCGAGGCAATGATGATACAAATATGAAGTTTATCACAATCAATCTCCAATATATTAGGAACGAAAATACTACTGTATGCTAAAGACTCCAGTCTAGCATTTCTAGGGTAATAATGAAAGAAATCCTGCAGCGCAATGCCAATATGCAACAAAATGAAGCCCAACCGGCGGCCAGCCGCCAGCCATTTGCTTCAACCTCATGAGCACCGAGGGAGGTCATGAGATAGGGATAGAATCGGACATCAAAGATATTAAGTTTGCTCTATCGTGCCGTCTTGTGTAGGCTTTGTTGTTTTTTGTGATCCTGATAGACGGCGTGACCAACAAGTTCGAGCAGGTGGCGTTCACGATATGTGAAGACACGAACACCAGTTGTTCGAAGGAATCGCTTTGCGTGTTCTAGAATGAGATCTAGGTGCTCGGAGGGGAGGCGAAGGAGGGCGTCGAAGGAGACCGTGATTTGGTCAGGAGAAGTGTTTAGAGTTGGAAATGCGACAAGAAGATCACGGGTGGTTTTGTCACGGGCAAGGAACTCGCAGTATGTTTCGAACATGTTTTCACGGATAATGAAGCGAAGGATTGAGTCCAAGGACTTGGGTTGAACAATGGCCTGTGGTAGGGAATGTTCAAGATCGGCGAGAGCGCGCTGCATTACAATCACATATTGCAGGTCTTCGATTAGTGAGGTCACTTGTATTTCCGTTGGTGATGTATGCCCCAGTAGTGGACGATCATAACCCAGCTTTTTCCGCCAGAAATAGTTGCATAGTATTAAAGAAATAATGCAAGGAATCAGGACAATGTACCCCCACCAACGCTCGGCAGTAACCATCGAAGCAGCACCGGCAACAAGACCATTCAACCCATTAATACCAGCATGCCACTGGAAGCGACGGAACCGAGCATGTAGGCGGCGACGGATATCATCGCTGGGCTCGCGGGAAAAAGTAGCGCTGTCGTGCGAATGGAATCGGTGAAGGAGATAGCCAGACCAGATGGCATTTACAAGGCCAAACACTGCAGCGAGACCATTCCCAATATACCCAGAGAGCAGATTACTGGCTTTGAAGACGCGAGGGTTTGCACCGCCAATAGCCATCAAAGTGCCAACCCCGACCAACAACGAACCGAATCCCATCAACACATCCATGACGATCCGGTCGATCACTTCGGTGCCAATTTCACGCAGTCCCACCCCCAGTCGGCTGTCAATAAGCCGGGTGAGCTCTGCATTCTTGCCGTGGTATTGCCGCAGACGCTGCAGATGATCCCGCTCTGCTCGCAGTAGCTTGACATTTGTCCAGCTCAACCGAAAGTCATGAATAGCAACCAGTACCATTCCCAAGGCCAGTGTTCCACCAATTCCCATAAGCACAGCGGCAAACTTCGGAACGGGGATCTGGTTCCAGACGTTCGCAGCGAAGTCAGCGGCGTTGGCTAGCTCGAGGTACCCGACACTGGCGAGTAAGCTGTTTTTGAATTGCTGTTGGTGTAGTAGGCGGAATCGACCGCCTCGCCGGACTAGCACAACCTGGCCTTTTTTTGATTCTAAGGATTCTTGCCATGTGATGTCACTGGCTTCACGGAGAAGTTTCGGGACCACGGATGGTGGGGACTCAGCCGGTGGTAGTAAGTCCATTTCCATGACCATCGTTGTGGGCTTGTGAGTTGATTGTGAGACGTGGGCGGGGGATAGAGGAGTGATTAGAGTGTCAGAGGAGTTGGTAGGGGTCACCATCGTAAAAGTCGTATGCGGGTGACTGTAGGAAGGAGAAGCTCACACAGGGCTATCCATGCCGATGCTCTGTACAACCAGGTTCAGAGAGTTGGATGGATATTAAAGTGAAAGCAAGGAGTAAGAGTAGGATAGGGTATGAGCTAAAGAGTGAAAGAGACAAAGAGCCAAGTGATAAAAGAAGAAAAGAGAAAAAGACACGCAAGCGGGTAAAACTAGGGAATCCCCGGACCTTCAAATTTGGGTGGATTGGCCCGCCTTGGCATAGCCCTATAGGGCTGAGAATATGCTTTTGCAGACCATTGTCCGTGTACGTCTAGGGTGTAATATTCAATGTTTCTACTATGTACTACATACATACTTGGTACTAGTGAAATAATTGACTAGTGGAAATGAGTCCCCACAGGTATGATTTTTCAACTATCAATGCTTTGCATCTCGGTGTTACGGCTAATCCAGCGGGCGGTCTATACATAGAAAATTCCAGGCAGCAATGTAATAGAAACTGAAAATACGGTCTAAAAATACATAGAGCTGAGAATATCTATGCCTCTTTAGAAGCTTTACCTTCATCCCCTGCTTTGGGTGTGCTTAATGCGCGAATTAGCTTGACGCCTGCGTCTGCCATGTCCCCTGAGTGCGCGCTCCAGAACTGTGCCTCACGGTCGGATCCCCGAAGCACATCATTCCCTGGCTCCTCTTTGGTCGGAGAGGGAGTACCGTCGATCGGTGGGTCTTGCTCGTTCGAACTGTATACATTGACTCGTTCGTTGAAACGCACCCGGTGACGGGGCCGACCGTTCGGCGAGCCCTGGGAGCCAGAACTGGGGGAGGAGTTTCTCGCCAGACTAGCAGCAAGATAATTTTTGCGCACTGCATACCTACCGGCCTCTTCCCTTCGAATCGTGTCCGAAAAGATCTTCTCGAGGGCTGTAGAGGCAGTGAATCGCATTCCCAGGTAGACCTGCTCGGCAATGAACAACGTCAACAGAAGCGAGGAGAGCCGTACCTCGGAAATAGGACCCCGATAGACATGCACAATGGCTGCTGTAGATAGCGTCCCTAGCCAAGCTAAGAAATCCAGCCCCAGTAGACATGGGCCGATCGAGTCCGACCGGATTGGTGGTGGTCGTTGGCACTCAAGCGTGAGCTTGAAGAAGTCGCCTCGCAGCTCCAGCCAGTTATTCAGCAGGAAGCCGAGAGGCACCAGTGGCCAAGCAACTCCAAATAATGCGAGATAGCCAAACTGTACACACATCTCCATGATGTCCTCCTCCACATGGTATTCCTCTGCGCCAGCCTCGCTACGCAGTCTTGTCATAAATGACACTTCCTCTGGCGAGTCTATCAAGTACAGGCCGGTCGCTGTGGAATGTTTCCGCGTGCGGTTGTATTTCGCCTTGCCGTCCCGATAGTTTTGCCATTTCTGCCTCAAGACATGCTTCACATATGGTAGGACGACCTCCTCACCGAAGCTAAGTACTTGAGCCGTCATGGAAAGATATATCACCTCTTGCTGGAATCGACTTGTATCAACCTCGAATTCCTTCTGCCCGGTTACCAAGTCGGCCCTGAACCCCGTTCTTCGGAGAATGTCAAGGTGTGGGACGATTTGTTTGCCGAAGGGGACATAGACATAGGCGGTCAATATTGTAGGGAGGAAAGAGGTAATAAAATTCATGACGAATTCCTTTTGTGTCTGTGCAAGATCATATTGATCTTGCGTTCTGTAGTTCTCATAGTCGGTCAAGCGGGTTGCGATTCTTGTGAGAAACGAGGTTATGGCGGGCAATGATAGCGAAAATAGGACAGTCGGTACGAATTCCAGATACTCTTTGAATGGACCATCGTATACCTCGGATATGAACACCTCCGATGCGAAGGACGCGACAATCAACGCTCCAAGGGCGACACTCGCGACAGAAGCAAAAGGAACCAAAAGTAACTGGCGTGTGAACTGCTTCCAGCCGGGGAAGACATATTTCACCTGACCACTGATTGGGTCCGTGACCTCTTTCTCCCAGACATACTGCTTGCGATTCACCTTCAGTCGCCCAACGCCCTTGACATCCCACCTCTGACTTAAATCGGCCTCTCGAATCTTCCAGTACTCGACGAATACAATGCACCAGGCGCAAAGTACAGTTCCATATACGATGGAATATGGACCTAGATATAGCCATCCAAGAATGCCCAATCCGGCAGGCACCACGAGGAATAACGAATAGCAATGAATAAAAGCGTAGTAGAAAGCGACCTACACCAAGGTTAGCTCACAATATCCCAATATAGTCGACCCAAGATCGAGCTGGAACAATACCTTTTCGCCAAATAAAGCTCGAATCGCATCCAGATCGCTAGTGGTCAATACCGTTTTTCGATTCCACTGACGCAACATTTGCGCACAGGCCTCCTGATCATGTAATGGGAAAGAGGCGGTGATGTTCTTCCATTTTCCAAAACCTGGCGTGATGCCTGCGCCTCCTATTTTCTTTTGCCAGGTGACGGCGTGGTATACCGACCGGATCTCTTCGGATGGTGTTTCGGCGTCGGCGATAGCTGTTTCGTCGCCATCCGGTAAGGTATGGGTAATCCCGAATAGCCAATCCTTAATTCTGCGAGGTGTTAATTGACTGTCAAAAGATAAAATTATCTGATGTTCAATATCCCCTTCTCACTTACCTTGACTGGTGTACTAAATTCCCGAGATGATCCCGCGGAACCCGAATGCAAACTAATAGCGCTTCACCGTGGCCGTGACGAACCTGCACCCGAAGACCAGCCTCGCCTAGGTCATGGATAAGGGTTCGAAACTCTGTAATAGCTTGCGCTTGATCTGGTGATCGTCAGTATATGCAGAAGGCCAAGGATATACCATGCAAGCACGTTATTTACCAATGTCTCCAAACTCATATTGTAGTACCCAATCCACGCCTAGGTTGTCGTTATCATCTTCATCGCTATTGCCATACCCCGCAAGCCAAGACATGTTGGGAAGCTAGGTCTGGCCTGGGAAGAGCGCGCAGTCGAATGGGTGTGGTTAAAGTAGTTAAAGTGATTAAACACGTTACATCTGTGAAAGGTTGAAAGGGAAAAATGTGGGGGAAGATTGCCTTCCAAGGCCACGATTATTACATTATTACCTAGGTACTATATTAAGTGTTCGATTTCATTCTATCCTGGTTCCACTCCACAGGGGGGCTACGGATATACGGTATGTATCATCTTTACCCTTGGAGGACTGCCGATTACACAGCTCTACCCTTTCAACTGCAACCTGAAACTTCCTCAATACGATTACAATGCCCAGGTGCATAATTATGTAGTCGATATTTATTGAATTACACAATCGTATTCCCTAGTTCCCATCCAAGTCCTACAGCTATGCTCTTCAGGGAACGCGAATCAGCCCCGCAAGTCAAGCTTCAGCCCTATAGGGGAGATTTTATTCTAGGGTATGGTTCGCCATCCAATGACACGCAGGTTCCGATCGCCATTTCTCTCCCGTGTCCCCCCCCTTACATGTTTGTCAAGCGAATTTCGATTTGTAAAGAGTAAAGTTTGCGAGGAAATACTCGAATGAGCGGATCAAACACCTGCACGGTGCCAGCTGACCCAACGGAGTGTTCCTACAAGGGATGATCGTACAGGGCTGGATCCACTACGGGCGCGTGTAGTTGTTGGATTGGTGGGAATTGGCTAGGGCTGAACACTGCAAAAGCTTCGGGGTAATTGAATCGGTGAAAGGACTATTCCCTGAATCCAAAATGAATTGCCGGGATATTTACTGCCTCAATAGTATAGATAGAGTGCGGAGTATGCACGGAATACTCCGTACTCTGTGTATGAAAGGATTCTACGCTCCTTGGCAGGAGAGAAAATGTTGAGCAAAATGCTGTTGCCTACAAATTGACGCCAAGTCTCGGCACAAATCCGTAATTTTCGGTGATTTTCGATGATTTTACGGAAACCCATATTTTATTGGAGATCAACCATTTACGGTGAAAGTTTCCAACGTATCTTAATAATATTGGTGCCAAGAGTGCCCAGGTGGAGGTTAGGAAAACTTGAATCCATGACGGCAATGGTACTCGGTATAGGCATCAACATTCACAAGCACGGACAATGGAATACACAGCCTTTTGCTGGAGACGGTGCCATGGGCCACAATGTTGGGGAGATGGTGCATATCCGGCGCTTCCATCGCTGTAAATACCTACCTAGAAGTATATATGGGGTAACGGATGCGCGACCGGGGCCGATCGCCATGAGATCATTTCCACTCAAATCTCTCTTCTTTCTTGAATTGACTGAACCAATCATTCACAACCCTAGCGGTTTGGCTCCCGTATGCACTCGATACTCGAGATCATGGCCCGTCGGTTTGCTCGTGGCCAGAATTTCACCCTCGGATTGAGCATCTTCCTCTTTATTTTCATGTTTCTACCTACATTTGTTATTTTGTTAGCGGTCGTCGTATTCTTTGGGCTGGTATATCCACGATTGCGAAAGTCGTACAGCCTTGACTGTGAAAGAGAGGAGTCTCGGCAGTCGGAGATCAAAGATTGAATGACGATCGGAGCATGGTATGACCATATTCAATGTGCTCGGTTACGTTCAATCACTAACGTGTCAGATGCCATCTGCGTGTAATATCAACCCCCGCCTCCAGGTCTACGAAAATGCATTGACGCTTCTCTTTGTCTCGGATTGATGGCGCTGTGCAGCGAGCACACTATTTCAAAGGCGTTCTGGGTTATATCTTGGTGATGGTACAAAAGGAGTTTGGGTTTTTCATGTTTTCGATTCACAGGTATCTGGGGTCTTGAGAACTATAATGTATGAAGATCATGATCATATCATTCTAGGGTAGAAGCATATTGTTTTTCAATCTGACATATTAAGTAAAATAGACCTAACTAGAACGGATGTATAACGTAAATGCCCAGCAATTTCGGAACTGTTCCGGTATCGAAAGCCACAAGGTCCTCCATTTATCCCAA